GACGTAACTGCTCCACTTGAACGTTGTATCATCCACAAAACCAAACATACTCTAGACGACTGTAGAGGATTCCGGTCCAAGTCGGTAGAGGAAAGGAAGAGACTCTTGAAAGAAAACAACATATGCTTCAGATGTTGTGCTTCTAACACTCACAAAAGTCGCGAATGCAATGCTGTTATCTCATGCAAGGAATGTGGAAGCAAGCATCATACAACCGCTCTGCACCTTACCAGAAATGACAAATTGGTTTCTATGGATTCTAAGGCAACTCATCAAGCGAATGGCGGGGAGGAAACCAAATGCACCCCTAATTCATCATTACAGGAGAACGGCGGGGAGTCGAGGGGTAACGTGATGTCCAACACTGTGTCAGAGGTCAACTCAAGCTGCACCGAGATATGCAGAGAACCTTACAGTGGAAAGTCGTGTGCCAAGATCTTGCCCGTTCATGTGTTTCATCGTGACAATCCACACAAGTCGGTGAAGATGTACGCAGTAATTGATGATCAGAGCAACCGCTCATTAGCCTCCCCAGAATTCTTTGAGTTGTTTTGTGTGAAGGATAAACCACAGAACTACACCATATCAACCTGTTCTGGCAAAGTTGTAACCTCTGGAAGAAGAGGAAAGGGGTTCATTGTTAGATCGATAGAAGAGTAGTAAAGGGTACATTATACAGTCAACATTTTTTTTAAAAATTAGGTCAAGGTCATAACTTTATGTAGGTCAAGGAGGTCAAAGCCCAAGGTCATAACATTTTAGGTCAAAGTCAAGGTCATACCATTTATCAGTCACAAACCTTGAGACATATTAGGTCAAGGTCATATTATTCAACAGTCAATGACTATGAAAACATGTCAAGGTCATAGCATTCAACAGTCACTGACCTAGAGAAATTGATCGCAGCTTATAAAAAAAAAATGGAGCAACGTCAAGATTCAACGACAAACTGGAAATTTTTGGGAGCAAAATTACCCAAATCTGAATTCGTTTATTTCTGCCAGATCCTGTTGGTTTATATAATTATCGTTACCGCAATTGTAAATCTTTCTCTTCAGACAGAAAACACTCGTACGGAACTATGGGTGAGCCTCCTAAGCAGTGCGATCGGTTATGCTCTACCTAGTCCCACACTTCAAAAGTGATGTCGATGTATGTAATTTTGTCCTTAGTCAATTTTGCTACAGTCTCAATTAAAAAAAATTATTTCTGACAATCAGTAGCCACCACAGAAATATAGTAATGTTTAAAGCACAGCGAGTAGAAAAATCTCCGAAAAAAACGTGCAGTTTAGAGATTGCATACATATAATTTACATTCCTTACGAGGAGCGGAAAGGAGTTTGGATTGAACATGCTATAAATAGAGCTCATTTTAAGAGAAGAATACAACAAATAGAGACTGTTTTATCACCCATATTACTTCAGAAATTGGAGCAAAATACTGGAGATACTTAGTGACTGTGAAATGTACTTTGGAAAAAAAAATATTCACAGTCATAATTTAAGGTTAGGACACTCTTATGTGACTGTGAAAATGTTTTACTAATCAGAACATTATACAGTCAATTATGTCACTGTATTTGATTCCTATATAAACTCGGGTATAGAAGGCATATATCACCAGTTCTGATTTCGCCTGAGAGGGAGCACAATATTTTGTTTTAACTCTACCTTACGCAAGAAGATGGAGCAAAAACAAAGACATTATCAAGGCAAACTACTCAACTCTTGTAAAGAACATGATGTCTACCCATGTTGCTGGACATCTTTTTGCTTCGGGAATTATTACAGATGAAATGAGACAACAGATAGAGGCTGAGAAAACTAGTTATGATCGCAACAGAAAGTTGATCAGCATCATCTTACGTCGAGGAAAAAGAGATTTTACAGGACTTAAAGTTGCATTGATGAAAGCTGACCAAAACGAACTCTCCAAAGTTTTGATTGGTGAAGACAGTACAATGACCGAATACGAGAAGAAGCTAGCCACAGCCCGATCTTTGGTTGTGAACATGACGGAAAAACCAAATTTAAGCAAAGAATCGAAGAATAAACTCAACAAACGCCAACAGTTGCAAGAGCCACGATGTCGGTTTAACCTGGATGACTTTAATGACCTTTTTCTGACCGTTACGCCTTTCAAAGGAAATATCAATATTCATATTCGCCATTTTACAGTGTCCAATGGTCGTTTTTTTTCCAACCAAGAAAGGGGTTACATTTCCTCTTGCCCGATGGCTGAAATTTGAGTCACTTCTACCAGAAATAGCAAGTTACCTACAAAACACCAACAGAGATGGAGAAATGAAATGGCATATTGGTGGGGGTGTTTACGTATCCCTAAATCCTATTTATTCCACAGTGGACATAAGACACTTTTGGAAACCAGTCGACGCACAGGAACCAATACCAACCAAGAAAGGCGTTACTCTAAACACACATAAGCTGATCAAACTATTAGAAGTTGTTGATGAAATGAAATGTTCCTGAGCTTAATGACGTAGAACTGTGTATGTTGAGTGATTCACATCAAAACCAACTTGGTATGCTAAGTTGTCCGGAGTGTACTCCCTTTGGATTCGAATCCCAGGTTGACAATGTATCCCTAGAATGCAACGTCGATGATGTACAAGACTTACAAATAATTGAAAATGACATTGAATAATTTAAATCTTTATAAAATGCTGACTTTGATGTACTATATTTAGTTACATGTTTACGTACTCTGTATATGTGCATTTTTTAAAAATCATTTAATAAAAGTTTGTATATTAAGATATATCTGCGTGGTTATTACCTTGGTATTTAAGAGAACACAAATAGAAGTAAAAGCTCATTTAGATCCAGTATGTCAAAATACACGGATTACTTGAGAAAATTATACTACACGCCTGGAAATCCTGGTGCTTTTGCAGGTCCTGAAAAGCTATACCAATCTGTTAAAAACGATGGAAAACACAAAAATTGGAAGAGAAAAAATTAGACAATTTTTGAACAATGAGGACCCCTACAGTCTGCTTAAACCTATTCGTAGGTCATTTCCTCGTTCGAAGGTAGTTGTGGACACGATTGACTCTATGTGGGACGGAGATTTGGCTGATGTTAGCAACATTTCTTCTCACAATGATGGTTTTCAATTTTTGTTTGTGTTGATAGATATATTCAGTCGATTTTTGTTTGTGGTGCCTTTGAAAAATAAGCACCATCAAACCATTATTGATAGTTTGAAAAAAACTTTTCAAACAGGACGAAAACCAAACACATTAAGAACAGATAAAGGAAGTGAATTCAAAAATCGTTGGTTTAAAGCATTTCTACAAAAAGAGAATATCAGTAACATATACACTCAGAATGAAACAAAAGCAAATTATGCTGAAAGAGTTACTCGAACTATGAAAAACCTAATGTATCGTTATTTTCTTAAAAATAGAACTTATCGGTACTTAGACGTTTTACAAGATTTAGTCAAAACTTACAATAAGCGACCTCATAGATCTTTGGGTGGAATAACACCCTCAGAAGTAAACCCTCAAAATGTCGACGAAATAAGATTATCTGCCTATCTGGCTGGAAAAAAGAAGATTCGCTCTGATTCCAAAAATATAGAAAATCAAAACAAAATGGTGAAGAGTAAACAGAGAAAAAAGAAAATGTCAACTTTCAAGTTCAAGATAGGGGATAATGTACGTATATCTCAGATTAAACACCCATTCCAGAGAGATTATCAACAAAAATGGACGGAAGAATTCTTTAGAATAAGTCAGCGTTACAAGAGGGAAGGAATTTCTGTATACAAAATAAACGATTTAGCAGATGACCCAATAGATGGTACTTTTTATGAATCAGAACTTCAAAAAGTTTTCAAGTCGGATGACATTCTGTATAGAGTTGAAAAAGTTCTTAAGAAAAGACAACGTGGAAAAAACACAGAGGTCTACGTCAAGTGGGAGGGTTGGCCTAAAAAATTTAACTCATGGATTTCAGAGAATTCTCTTGAAAAAAGTAAATAAATAGAAGAACCGAACAAGAAGTTGCTTTATTTAAGATGAGCGTTCGTATGATACTGACGTCAACAGACAGTTTGGAATATTTTGACAACAAACCAAATTGTTTTAGGGTTCAACTAAATAAACAAGTTCAATTCGATGGGTACTGGACAGTAGCATTGACGGAATTTAGCACAGAAAGCTGGATTTCGTCCAAGAAAAAAACGGAAGTATACGTGTGCTGTGATATTTGTGAGGAGACTTTTGTCGGTGGTAAAGAAGTGTCCCTTTTGAGACGTGTGTTTCTAGGAGAGAAAGTGGGTAACATATGTTACACGTTACCATATCATATCCCAGTAAAGATAGGACAACTACAACAGATCTGTATATATATAACAGATAAAGACAAGAAATTAGTTTCATTCTTAGACGGACCTATGAGTGTGACACTTCACTTTAAGAAGTTTCCATACGTCATATAATGAACAGCCAGACTTATGTGAGCGATCCTAGAATGTGGGAGGCATTCTATAAAAACATGGCCGAGAAAAAATTCAATCCTTATAAATATAAACCAAAACAAATAGGAAGGGGTGTACGAAGTCACAAATCTTACGTCATTCCGATCCGACCTCATTCAGAGTTTCAAACTCCAGACAATACCCCCCTTGTGACCCATGTAGCTGCTGTGGAAGAAAGAGCAAAATCAGAACATACGAAGGATGTCAAACAGGGTGCACCATTTGTCAAAGTCGAAGGAGGTATAAAAAGACCCCATTCTGAGATTACTGTCATTCGTGCAAAGAGAGGAAGGAAGTCAACTTCGCAAAAGCCCGTAAAGAAGAGAAATTATATACCAAATTCTGCAAGGAAAACGAAAAAAAAAATCTCCTAAGAAAACGAAACTAATTTCTAAAGAAAAGAAAAGCGTGGCTTGGAAAAAATCAAGAAGTAAACAAAAACCAAAAGAATTTAAGATCGATAGTTATAAGAACATATTCAAAAAGTAAGGATGGCTTTTTTAAGTAATGACAATAAAGACATTGCTCAGCCGATGGAACTTTCTTTTTTTGCATCACCAACAAATCAAGTAGCAGTGGAAAAAGTCTACTTTACGGAAGCAAGACCAATATCTAGCATAGGGGTGGCTGATACCCCAATCGAGATTGTAGTCTCTGGTTCTGGAGCTGAATATATCGATTTAAAAAGACGTAAATTATACGTGAAAGCCCGGATTTTAAAAGCAGACGGTAATGCCTTAGCAGCAAATGAAAAAACAGGAATCATAAACTTGCCTTTGCAAAGTATGTTTTCTCAGATGGATGTTTATTTAAACAACAAATTGGTCTCTTTCAATACCAACAACTATCCTTGGAAGGCTTATTTGAAAACTGTTCTGTTCAGTGGAGAAGAAGAATTATCCTCACAGAAGCAATCAGAGTTATATTTTAAAGATGAGGGAAATCTTGCAGACCCAAATGCTTACAATGGAAGGAATTCCGGGCTAGTATTGCGGTATGGCTATACACAACAGAGTCGTGTTTTTGAGCTTGAGGGAAACTTAATGGAGGACATATTTGATATAGATAAATACCTGATCAATGGAGTAGATATCTATATCAAACTATTTAGATCCAGTGCCCCCTTTTTAATTATGTCTGATGCCACCACTCCGGCATACAAACTCGAATTACTTGACGTTGTGTATAAAGTAGCCAAAGTACGAGTAGATCCAGGCGTTCTACTAAACCACAGTACACAGTTGGAGTCAACCCCTGTAAAATACATTATTTCCAGAAATGAACTAAAAATGAACACTATTCCTAAAGGATCTACTGAGTTTTACTGGGACAATATATTTCCACAGGCAGTACCTTATCGTATCGTTATAGGTCTGATTGACCAAAAAGCTGTAAACGGTGATTATACAGCCAATCCCTTCAATTTTGAGCATTTTAACGTATCCGATGTCGGAGTATACGTAAACGGCGAAAGCGTGCCAGGACGACCTTTAAAGACAGATTTCACAGCGGGACATTTTTTGTCGGCCTATACCCGATTATTTGAAGCATCGGGAAAGTGGAATAAGGATGCAGGGCTGGTTATAAGTCGGGAGAACTTTAAGGCCGGGTATTCTCTTTTTGTTTTTACTATTGATCCATGTGGATTTGGTGAAGAATATTTAAACCTAATTCGACGAGGAAACACCAGACTTGAACTGAAATTCAAACAAGCAACAACTAAAGCTGCCAATGTGTTGGTATTAGCAACATTTTCATCTCTGCTAGAAGTTGACAAATCACGTGAAATCAACTATATCCAGCCATGAACTCAAAACAATTACTTGATATCGTACTAGATGATCCGTACTTAAAAGAAGTTGTGAAAGGTGTTTATGCAAGTAATACGTTACCAAATACCATACCACATTATCCGTGTGCCTACATAGTAAATTCACAACCTTTGCCCCTTCCCGGAGAACACTGGATAGCCATTATAATACATAATGCACTGGAGGCGGATTTCTTTGATAGTCTTGGGAAATCACCGGCTGATTACAATCAAGATATAAGGAATTTTATATACATGAATTGTACACATTGTAATTTCAAATCTATAAGACTTCAACCATATAACTCCAATTTGTGTGGTCTTTATGTACTAGTTTTCATAATTGCGAGATTGTGTTTTAAAAAATCTTTGGCTCGTATATATGCATTATTTTCAAGTAATATTCAATCCAATGATAGCTTTGTACGTAGTTTCATACATGAATATTTTTTGTCTAAATAAATTAGTTTTATAATGGGGACATAAGCTTTGATTTCATTACATTTTTGTTTTTTTTTCTTTATTACTACCTATACCAAGGACATCTTGAATTTTTATTATTATTTTGAATTATATATATATATATATATATATATATGTGCTAATTTGCTATAGACACAGTATGAAATAAGACGTGGAGAAATAAACATGGAAACAGATATTGTGAATAAGTGGTGGAACACGAAATCCTTACTTCCCTTTTCTGCACCCTCCACAATTTTAATATGTGGTAGCACACAAAGTGGAAAAACATATTTTACCAAACAAATGTTACAAAATGCAAACTGTATGTTTTCGATGTCTGTCGATAAAATTATTTATGCGTATTCTGAACATCAACCGATGTTTGATGAGATGGTTAAATCTATACCGACCCTTTCTTTACACCAAGGCTTACCAACGAAGGACGACATAGAACAATATACAGAGGGTGTGAATCATACAATTGTGGTTTTGGATGATCTCATGTTACAAGTTGCGCAGTCTCAAGACTGCGTACATCTTTTTACGGTGACTTCACATCATCGAAACGTTACAACTGTAATGCTTTCCCAAAATCTGTACCCTCCGGGAAAATATGCCAGAACAATTTCCCTGAATTGCCTCAATGTTATATTGTTCAAGAATTATCGTGATTCTCGACAGGTAATCACCTTTGGCTCTCAGATACTACCAAGTCAAGTACCTTATTTTAAGGCAGCATATGAATCTACCACTCGTGCGAATTTTGGCTACCTTCATGTTTGTCTGGAGCCTACTCAAAACAAAGACGACCAATTAAGGTCTCGCATTCTACCGGGTGAGGACATGATTATCTATCAGCCATTATAAAAACATTTACTGAATCTTTTTGTTTCATTACACAATTATGAAGCAGAGAGTAGAGAAGCATAGAGCTCTATTGGAGTTTCTTTTGTATGCAGACAATGTACAACAGAAGATGACAGTCAAAGTACTGACCAACGAACAATACGATGTCCTCAGCGAAATAGCACTGAACATTTATACAGGGACCTATCCATTACCCACAAAGTATATAAACCAGTTAAAACCCTACGAATCTTACATTAGATTGCTGGGATCTAGAGAAGTCAGTACTAAAGAGAAAACACGGATTTTACTGAAACATATTCAGCTAGTGTCACTTTTGTTGAAACCTATAGTGCGATATATTCAAAAGAAATGGCGAGAGAAATGATACTAGTGCCGAAGCTCAAGTATGACCACCTTCTTAAAAAATCCGACAATGTTGGGAACAATTTAAATCAGGATACCAGTCACTCGAGGAATGAACCCAAACTATTCGAACATACAGAAGATCAAAAACAAAATCCTGACCAGTTAACGGAAAAAACGGATTTGGTGCAAACAGGAAATGGTTACTTACGTAGGACAAAAAAGGTTGGGAGACCTCCAGGTGTTTCCAATACTCGACGCAAGAGAAACATTCAATGGCTTACATACTGAGATAAACTGCATGATATAATTAAAACAGACATTATACAAATTGTCACATAGTTTTATTATTATGTTTACTGCAATATTCAATAAAAATAATATCAGTTATAAACAATTGTTTTTTTTTTCTTTAGAAAAATCCAAATGGCAACGTGTCCAAATTGGGTAGAATTCGTCTTTTCGTATAAACCATTTTATAGTTTTTTGCTTCTCTTCGGTTTAACAGTTTTCGCTTTCTACTATCCCTAGATATTTTACAGGGATTGATAATTTCAATCTGTTTTGAAGTACAGATGATTGATTTAATTGCATCAAAATTAATCAGTTTTGAGTTTGCCCAGTTAAGTGTAAAACCTCGCACTTTGCATTCTTCTTTCCCTGAGAGAGTGCGGTATGCATAATTTTTTGGCCCACCCGACACAAATTCCACAATGTGCCCTTCTTGTGCAGATATCTCATTTGTTAGTTCCCCAAGATAGTTTCCTATGGGAAGGTAACTCAAATCGTCTGACTGTTTGGCTTTGAATATGACGCTGTCTGTATCAAAGTACAACACATTCTCATTTAACTTGTCGAAAACACTATACAATTTCAATCGAGCCCACATTGTAGTGAAAGAAGCCAAGAAAATATTTGTTTTATTATCGAATGACGTGAAAAGGGGGCTATTACTATATTCTAACTGAAGTATGTCTCTGGAAACAATGTGAAAATTGTGGGGGACTTTGGTTGGGTCTGAGAGTATTTGAAAAAAATTCTCAGCTTCAGACTCGTGAATAAACATAGATTGATTCATGTCTAGCCTCTGACCAAATTTCCCCCAGAAACTATTTAAACAAAGTTTTGCTAGACAGCGTAAACCAGGATTCTTCTGAATTTTTTCATAATCTAATTGTATGCCCTCTTTCTCTGTATTCTCTTATGTATTTACGTTTAAACTCTTCTGTGACACACCCAGCAGGAAAACCAGAGGCTTCCTGTTTAATTTTAAGGAACATGTTAACATACTGGGCAAACAGGCCTCCCTCACATGACTTTTCGTCGTATTTTGACGATTCGGAAAAGTGATACACCTCATATATTTTTAAGATTTTATACCCTTTGGACGTTGCCATTTGAATTTCGGGGGTACACCACGTGCCTATAATAACCCTGTCTTCTACAGAACAAGTGCATTCTTTCTGATTTTCAGTGTCTGCACATTTTCTACACAGTGGAAACTTTAATTTTCCTTTGGAATTATATGGGAGCACAGGGTGATACAATCGTCTCGGTGGAAGTATTTTGATTTTTGCAAGTCCAAAATACAGGGATAAGTCCTCAAAATTGTCAGTAATGATAGTCGGATGGCCTATAGGGTATCGACAATATTTATTGGTCCAAGGATAGAGACTGGTGAAGTCATAGTATTGAATGGTTTCGCCTTTCTGGGCCTTGTAGTGCAGTTTGATGGCATTCGTGCGACCACCAAAAAAACTGTCACGTGGGTTTAGTCTGTCCTGGAGATCCAAGTTCAAAATGAATTGTTGCAATTCTAAGTTTTTGTTGAGTTGATACTTAAACTGATGCTCCCATATTGTGACCACTTTATACCCCAGATCTTTGAGTTCTTGCTCTCTCCTTTTTGTCATCGTAAACAATTCATTTATCGTCTGATTCGTGGATGGTAGTTTAGTTTTATATCGATCGTGCGGGAAACATGTGCGACAGCCATGAAACACACAACCTAACCCCAAAAATCAAATACAAATTATTTACTTAATTCATTCCACCCTCCCCTTTCAGTTTTTTTTTTTGGGGGGGGGGGGAGAAAAGGGGCAAATTGGCAACAGACGTTACATAAACAACATTTTTCTTACCGTAGAATTCGTAAATGGTTCCCATTCCGTTTGGAGTCTCTGTAAATCCGTCACATCTGTAATTAGTGCCCGGGACACGGTATTCACCCTCATTCAGAGCATGACGTATGAAAACAGGTTTCCCCCGTTTTAGACTTTTTTCCATCAGCCATTCTAACCACTGAATTGAAACTTTGCTGTGGTTATCTCTTTTTGTGTAACCTTGGGATGGTACAACTGCAATGGGACTGGTAAATTTTCGTTTCCCTATCTGTACACTTTCATCTTTTTTCAAGTCAATTAGGGATTTCCACTCACCATCAATAGAAACTCCCTGTAATCCACTCTTACAATAAACATTATACCATTCAGTCTCTAAACCCCTTGTGATTTCTACTTCATGCTCTTCTTTTAAAAAGAGAGTTTTAAAAATCCCCATGCAGACGCTTGCAATGGTCACAAAATCAAAGGGGTCCACTCCCGAAGTGTTGCAATTCTCAATGGTTCCGTCAGGTTGAACAATGCAGCTCTTAAATGTCGTAACATTAATCATGAGATTTCGAAATTCTAAACATCCTCTCCTCAAGATGTCGACGTCTGAGCGACAATAGTGTAACATTTCGTCTTGAAAGTTAAATGTTTCATCACTCTTCTTTGCATGCCATTCAGCCAACTTTTTCCGCTCTTCGGATGACATAAAATCATATCCATAATACTTCAATGCTGGGTAAGGACCCACATATTTTTGATTTGCTTTTGTATTGAACAAATGTGGAAAATAACCCTTAGAGAGCTCCTCCAGTCCGAAAGCTTCCGGTATTTTGGCTAATTTCATAGGTAGAAAATTTAGGGAATCCAAAAAGGTAAGGTTTAATTTTTGTGAAATGTGCATGTACATGATTTTGGAACCACTGTAAATAATCTTGCTTGGTCGTATAGAATGACGATCTATGAGAACTTCTAAGATGGGATACAAATCAAAACTTTTTGCATTATGAGCAATTAAGAATGTGTCTCTGCAGTGTTTCTGCGTGATATAGGAACAAAACTGTTCGGCTGTGTCATCACCATGGAACACCTTTTCCCTGTATCCACAAGTATCTGGACAAGGGGAATGAATAAAATTGGACTTACGTGTCTTAGAGCATTTTCCACATCGTATTCCACAGTTTGCGCATTTTGAGTCCGTCTTTAATTCCTG